CATCCAGCGTTTGTGGTAGCATATGGCATCTGTGCGAGCCCGAGAGCTTAGACTATCCAGGAAATGTCTGTTACCGCTGGCCTTTCCATCATCCGTCCATTTACTTCCACTAATCACTCGTTGCATCAGCTTTACATATGAGGAGAAAACTACTGCAGATGGTAGTTTAGTTGTTGAGGATTTGGCCTGACAAAATCATTTAAATTCACAGGAGTGAATGTTCATATATACTTAAACAGCCGAGCCTCTTTTGATAGTACTAGTAAAAACAATTGTAACAATTTAATTTTAATCATAATAATTTTAATCCGATAACGGCATTGCGAGTGAGAAAAATTGTATGCAATTATGATACCGGCTGTAGTATGTCTAGGTTGTCTGAAAAGGGGTATCCTTTTTCATTATTTCTGTTTGTATTTTCCAAAGACTGTCTCTAGAGCTTGAGTGATCCAACAATCAGGAGAATGAAGCTGATTTTTTCATTCTGTAACTTCATTTCGATCGTCAAAGCTCATCCCCGGGAATCCACCTGCTTTTCCCTTGGTCACGGTACCATTTATGCTTACTGTCTGGAAAGGGGTGTCAAATATCCAGTTTGTCTGTAAAGGGGTAGGCAAACAATTTGAGTTTATTTCTGTCTGATAAGGGGTAGGGGTTTCAAACAACCAGCTACACACCCCTGTCAGTATTTTTTGCAAGACCCCTCCCGGATATACATAAACATGAGTATTAAAAATATGTGTTATATTTATTACTTGTCTAGTAATACCTGAAAATCATTCTCTTTTTGGAAATTATAGGTATGGCGTGCCGACAATGGGAACTGTTGGCGAAACGTAGAGGGTCATGCTCTATGCGTAAGAGTGGTTCAAATGAAAAAGTTATTCAGAGAGCATGGGACTGCTATAATGGTAGAATTCCAACAGTTGGTTTCAACACCGCTGAAGACTTTGCTTTATTCTGCAAGCTAGGGCACACATATAGAGACAGCTCGTACCTGTAGACAAGTGCCACCCGTGCATTATTTTTAATGACTTGATTTGTCAAGGTGATCCGAACCATAGAAACAACCGACGCATAAAAGGAATTCGTTATTCGCCATGGGCGTCGAGCTGTGTATGTCCTAATTGTTCTAATTGATCAACTCCCATACAGCATTGTGCTAATTTTTGACGACAAAATGGCGGTGGCGAGACAGGAATAGTATATAAAACAATATATTATATATATTATATACGAGTGGCGTTCAATAAGTAATGCCCCTGACTCATTTCCCATAGCAGGAGATTAATGAACTTGACACAGTTATTAGTCTTTCTTTACATAGGAACCACCAAGAGTTACGCATTTCTCCCATCGTTTGATGCAGCTCTGGACACCGTTTTGGTAGAACACCCCAGATTGGTCCTCCAACCACATCGTAAATTCAGAAATCAAGGCTGCATCATCTGGGAAACGCTTTCCTTTCAAAAAGAATTTCATGGCTGGGAAGAGGTGAAAGTCAGAGGATGCAAGGTCAGGAGAGTAAGGGGGATGGGGGAGGATTTCATAGCCCATGCTTCTGATCTGGTGACATGCGAGTTGTTGACCGGAGTGTTGTCCTGCAGGAAGAGGATACCTTTGCTGATCTTGCCCTCCTCTTGATTTTGCTTCTCTTAATTTCATCAAAAAGGAAGCGTAATAGACTCATGTAATTGTGGTACCCTTTGCCAGGAAATCCGTCATCACTACTCCGTCCTGGTTCCAGAAGACGGTGGGCTGTACCCTTGCCTTCATTGGAGGTAGTGAGTCCAAGGACTTCCATTGCTTTGACTGGGCTTTGGTATCTGGATCATAGTAATGGACCCAAGTTTCATTCTGTGTAATCAGTCTTTTGAAAAACTTTGACTCATCTTCTGGGTATCTCCAAATTCATCCTCCGAAGACCCTGTACTAATCTTGACCTCTTGGGCTATTTGGCGAACAGTAATGCGTCGATCTTCCAAAATGGTTGTCTCAACTTGACGGACAGATGCCTCATTAATGGCAGAAATGGGACGACCAGGTCTGGGAGCTATTTCCACAGACTTCCGGCCATGTTTAAATTCACGATGCCAGCGTTTTACAAGGTCATATGATGGGGCATCATCACTATAAGTTTGTTGCATTTCATCAAAAGTCGCCTTTGGTGTGCGTCCTTTCAAATACAAAAACCGGATCACTGCGCGATACTCAACTGGTTCCATTTCACACCTGGCTCACCTGTAAATCAGAAACCACAAATTTCAGAACTGTTTTTTGCAACATACCCATAGAGATGTAAATCATTCCACATGCAAAATTTCATCTAGATCTGACAACTGGAAGTGGGCCAGGGGCATTACTTATTGAACACCCCTCGTATAAATAAAGGCATTAATTATTAGAATTGCTGGTTTGTTAAGTTTGCAAGGTGATTCATTGTGTCAACCCAATTTTCTTTGCCTAAACCAATGTAAAAAGTATGTAAACACTTTATTGTCATTGCGTTACACACAA